ACTCCCCTTCCATTCTTCACGTGTTGCAAAATTCTTAAACAAGGACTCTCCACTCTCCACTTATGAATGGAACAAAAACCCGCACAACCATATTTATTTTTTCTGCTAAAAAAACGCTTTTAAATTTTTTTAATTTATTTTACTTTAAATTATTTTTTTATATATAGTTTTTTATTGAAATAAAAAACATTATTTTAATACATTTACCACTAAAACACATTTCAAAAAACAAAACGACCACTACCACCGTAATACCTAAAACAAAACCCGGTCGAAATATGTCTTTCAAGGGATAACTGATATTTGATGTCCTGATGATAAACGCAAAAAATATACAGGTTCAGCCCCCTCTGTTAACCCCTTATTTAAGCAACATGAAAAAAAAGGGTTTGGCTGGACAGGTCTCAGTTCTCTTCCTCTTCCACACTCTACAATAGAATTAAAACATAAATTGCAAATCCTAACACATTTGATCTCAAAAAATGAACACCCTGCTGCTGGCATCACCAGCACCACCTTAATTATTGATTTTCGCAAAAATCAGTTTATGAGAATAAAAGGAGAAAAAAGATGGTCTGTTTAAGAAGCAGCAGATTCCTTGGAAATCTTCTCAGCCTTGGCAATAACCTCCTCAATACCACCAACCATGTAAAATGACTGCTCTGGAAGGTCATCGTATTTCCCATCCAGCACTCCCTGACAAAACAAAAACAGAATTGCCACCACATTAAATTTATGATTATTAAAGTTGCACCATCCATCCAGACAGCGATTGTCAAACTAGATAGCAAATGCAATATAAATATCTAGCGGGCAGAGCCAAGTTGTGAGTTCATGTAGCCACATGTCAAAGGATATAGTGAGGGAGAAAGGACCAAGGAGAAGGAAAAGCACCTGGAAGCTTTGTACACTCTCCTTCAACTCGACATACTTTCCAGGAGCACCAGTGAAAACTTCTGCAACATGGAAGGGCTGGCTCAAGAACCTCTGAATTTTACGAGCACGGGCAACCGTCAGCTTATCATCTTCACTGAGCTCATCCATTCCCAAAATAGCAATGATATCTTGCAAATTCTTATAGTTTTGAAGAACCTTCTGCACACCACGAGCAGTGTTGTAGTGTTCCTCACCCAAAATATGAGGTGAAAGCATACGAGATGTAGAATCAAGGGGATCCACAGCAGGATAAATACCAAGCTCAGAAATCTGTCCAGTAAGAGTGACAATATAACAATCATCATATCATATCAGTAACATAATTGCTGTGATTACTAGCCCACTTCAAATAATTATAATCACACCTGTCTTGACAGCACAGTTGTGGCATCCAAGTGAGCAAAAGTTGTGGCAGGAGCAGGATCCGTCAAATCATCAGCAGGCACATAAATAGCTTGAACAGAAGTAATGGAACCTTTCTTGGTTGTTGTAATTCTTTCTTGTAGACCTCCAAGATCTGTAGCCAAGGTTGGCTGATAACCAACAGCAGATGGGATTCGTCCAAGCAAGGCAGACACCTCTGAGTTAGCCTGCAGAACAAAGAAGAGCAAAATGACAGAGTTTGTAACTCAGTAACAGGGAGTGACAAGTTAAGTTGTATCCAGAAATCCATTGGCATCCAATTTTACCTGGGTAAAGCGGAAAATGTTGTCAATGAATAGAAGCACATCTTGCCCTTCAGCATCACGGAAGTGCTCAGCCACAGTAAGTCCAGTGAGACCAACACGAGCACGAGCACCAGGAGGCTCATTCATTTGACCATACACAAGAGCACATTTGCTCTCAGCCTGGTATAACAGAAGACAAAGTAAAACAGTTTCAGTAAATATTAACTTGAAAAATAAAATATAAAAAAACATGAATGTTCAATAGCACTAACCTGCTGATCTCCTAGCTTAATGACACCACTTTCAATCATTTCTCTGTACAAGTCATTTCCCTCACGGGTACGTTCACCAACACCAGCAAAGACAGAGAAACCACCTGATCCCAGAAAACAAGAAATATTCAGCAAAGTGTGAAAAGAACAAATGTAAACACAAAACTTTGTATACTGTAAGAACTAAACAAACCATGAGCTTTTGCAACATTGTTGATAAGTTCCATAATAAGCACAGTTTTTCCCACGCCAGCACCGCCAAACAGTCCAATCTTCCCTCCTCTTTGGTATGGTGCAAGGAGATCAACAACCTATGAGGAATAAGAGAACATAAATTCCAAATGCTAGGATCAAGTTTTAACAGCATCAAAGTAAATGAAGCATGGTGACAAAATCCATCCTGTTTTTAACATGGACAAAAAAATTACAGCCTTGGCATCAACTACAATTCTATAGAAGACTATACGTGTCAGATACCTTGATACCAGTTACAAGGATCTGTTGCTCAGTTGCTTGCTCAACAAAAGCTGGAGCCTCCCTATGAATAGGCAAGTAGTGCTCCGTCTCTGACAGGGATTAAAACTAGTTGTTAAAAAATCTCACATCATAATAGTATTCTATACTGATCAAATGATTAGGGTTTGTTTATCTCTTACTGAGGTCTCCCTTCTCATCAATGGCTTCTCCAATGACATTGATGATGCGACCAAGAGTGGCCCTGCCCACAGGCACCTATTGAGGATATGCCAAATGAAGAAATCAGCTTCAAAGATACCCAACTTTTGACAGAGACAAAGCACAAGGAAGAGTATGAAATTCAGAAAAAGTCATATCAAAACCTAAAGGTATTGTACCAACAAAACCAGAGCAGTCAACGACAGAAAAAAATTACAAAGGACACAACAATGCATAAGGATAGATACATAAGATGTAATCCTTCCAATGTCAGCAATCCCATCTCAAATAAAACCTTGATCCTCACAACCCAAAAACAATTAAACAGTTACATAAAATCCAGAAACATGCAAATCCACAGTTGATTCTACTAAAGTAAATCTCTCTGTTTTTTTTTGGTTTCCAGTAAAAAAATCATTAAAAAAATCCTTTCAGCTTTTCACATATTCCTGAGCTAAAAATTGATCCACATTAAACAAAAAAAATATCACGGATCTCAATTGCGAGTGTTTTCTTCTTCCCCAGACCCCGAACTTTCAATTGATTTGCTTCCGAAATTCTAGCAACCAGACACTAAGATATACTATCAAAACAAATATTTATCATCAAACAAATCATCACATACTCCAAATAGCAAATCAGTACAATAACAAAAAGTTCCAAAATTTCTCATCAGATACCATCAAATTTAAAATCAAACATAATATAAAAAAACAAATTTAAGAAATTTGCTTACAGTAATTGGAGATCCAGTGTTAAGAACAGGTTGGCCTCTGACCAAACCTTCAGTACCATCCATAGCAATAGTCCTAACAACACTCTCTCCCAAATGCTGGGCCACTTCAAGAACCAACCGGATTGAGTGACCCTGAACCTCCAAAGCGGTCAAAATCGGAGGCAAACCCTCATCAAATTTCACATCCACAACGGCTCCAATAACCTGACACACATGCCCGATCGAACCTTTCCCAGTAAACTCGTCTATGACCTTCCCCTTCTTACCCTCCGACAGGACAGAAGGCGGTTGTGATGGAGGCGATGCGGCGGCTGCAGAGGTCGCGTACTCAGCCGCGCGGTTTAGGAGGTAACCGTAAGGAGACGCGCGGCGCGTGGAAGATGCAGAGACCTTAGGATTGGTACTTGATAAAGTAGATTTAGAGATAGATCGGCGAGAAGACGATCGGAGAAGAGATGATAAAAGTCTGCGTGAAGCCATTTGGTTAGGGCTTCAGAGAAAGCCAGATGAAATGCTAGGGTATGTGAGAGAGTGTGAGCTCACACACTCTTAAGTCCCAGATAATAGTAGACGTGATTCACTGCTTTACTGCTACTTACACGGGGCCGGCTGGTTCGGAGGGTGTGGTTGTGATTGTAGTTTAAATATTTTTTTATATTAAAATATATATATATGAATAATTTTTTTTTATTTTTTAAAAATTATTTTTGATATTAATATATTAAAATAATTTAAAAATATTAAAATATATTAATTTAAATTTAATTAAAAAATTAAATTATTTTAAAAATATTTTTAAAACGAAAAAAAAACAGCATTTACCTGACTCATCCTTGTATGGGAATATTCGATTTTGCTCCCTTTTTTTTGGGTGAAATTATGGTGCTGCTAAGGGTGACACGTAGAATTAAACGACTGCGCTCTCATTGTTACGGGGTGAAACGATGGCGTATGGCAGATAGACGTCTTCCTTGGCCAAAGGAGCCGGTGATACGAATTTGTTGATAATTTGAAGGAATGCACGGGGCGAGAAGAGGAGGTCAAGGAAATTCGATGAAGGCTCCAGACGGCGTCGTGTTTGGCTAGATAAAGTTTTTCCTTTCCTGCTTCATTTTTGGTGTTTGTTAGGAAATTGAGAAAATGTGTGGAGTTAATACTAACAATAATAATACGGTCTATTAAAAGGTTCCCTTTTTCCTTTTTCATCAGCCGATGGTCAGGTTTCGTTTTGATGGTGTATTGACTCGAATTTTATGGATACATGGAAAGACCATTGTAACCTTGATCGGTAATTACAATAAACTAGGGAAACAACAAGTCAACATTGTTTAGACTAAATTGCCCTTATTATGAGCGAGAGGGGAAATGTTGTTTTTGGTGATTCGTTTTTTATTTTTCATTTTACTATGAGAAATTCTTTTTTGAAATGATCAGGCCAGAAAAATATATAAGAAAAGGTAGCTGTATATGGAGGGTGGGGATCTATTATGCATAGGCATGTTTGGGACTGAGGTTGTATTTTTTTTTTATATATATATATATATAGATAATTTGGATTATTTTTAAATATTAACACTTCAAAATTCTTGAAATCTTGATTATGAAAAAAATTATAATTTATAATTTTTAAAAAAATTATTTTTCTAAATTATAACTGTAAAAATTACCATTACAGACGCTTAGCCTTACACCAAATCCAAAAGCACAGGCCATAACTACTCATGTTATATAAAACGTGTCAATAATGATGTGCACATTCTGACATTTGATACAAATGCAATTAAACTCGACGAGGTTGATAAAAATAATAATCGAACAGTTCGATGTGTATGTTTCAGCCAATTGCCAAAGTACTCTTTGGCTTTTTTAATCATGCCTAAAGTATTTTTTTTATTTTTAAAATGATTATCTCTCTAATTTACCTGTATTGGTTAATTTTTGCTGTGTGAACAGGCATTCGACTTCAGGCAACAGTTTGCTTTGAAATCTCAGTGATATTCAAATCCATGGACAACAACTTGTCTCATCACTTGTTTCGTCACCCCAGCTCTATGTTCCATGCGAGTCAATGTCAGTTTCTTTCACTCGACTGATGGCTTTAGCTGCCTGAAAAATTAAATTAAAAGCTTTATTCAACTGGTTTTTCTTATCAGAAAAGCAACTTGTAAATGATCTTGTTGAAAAAAGAGATGCATCCATATAAAATATGGGACCAAGGGTATCTAGCCTCATGGCCTATCTCCAACTTCTTACAACTGAAATTTTGAAGTGTCTGCCCATATGCAGCAACATCTCGAGAAAGCTAAGGATATATAGTTCATATAAGCTGCAAATCAAGGAACCCTAATCTAGGCTAGAAAAAAAGAAACCAGGGCATAATACTCAACTTCATTTTTTATATACTACTAGTACGTTTACAGTCACTTCTATGTAGTCAAGGTAGGATAAAAGAATTTACCTCTCGATCCCAATCTGTACATGCATTTACAGAAACAAGCGCTACAACTTGCATAACGAGGCCACATATGATCCCCATCCAAAGCCCCTGATAATATATAACAAAACAAAAGTACGAACAAAAAAGAAATTTGAGTAAGAAAACATGCTTATTTCACTTTCCCAGAGGGAGAGAGAGCAAAAGATCAGAGATGGGGATCTACCATGCCTCCAATATGGAAGATGAAAGCAAGGAGAACAGCTGAAGGAATTGCCACAACATAGTAAGCTCCAAGGTTGATAAATGCACACAGATTTTGCCACCCACATCCTCTTGCAGCTCCTAAACAAATGAACTGGCTAATAATGACCACAAATTCGAAAAGTATACATACTTGACAATGAATTAGTCTTAAAGGTTGCATATATATTGTGAGCTACAAAGAAAAAGAAAAATGAATGATAAGTTCATTTAAGGCGCTTGTCATAATAAATTCGGACCTGAAAGCACGCATTGGAATCCATCCAAAAAGTCAGATAGTGCTAGCAGTGGCATCATATTAGCAACATATGTTATCACTTCTTCTTCATTGCTGTAGAGATTTCCCCATACTTGGCGTACCAAAATTGTAGTAATTCCAACCGCTGCACCCTCTGACAGGGCGATGATGATCATAACACAGATAGCCAAACGTGCACCTTGTGGGCGCCCAGCCCCCAGTTCATTTGATACTCTTGTACTAGAATTGCGAGAGGCCGAGGACCATCAAACCAATATCGTCAAAATTCAAAATGGATTTTGATCTTTTTCAGAAGTGAGGAGTGCTTCCATCTCATTGAAAGCAGGGGAACTTGATAGAAAGTTATAACATTACAAAAATATAAGATGGAAACTGACCTTATGGTTCCACCAAGGCCTACAGAGATCATATAGACCATCCAGCATGTGTTAAGGCTGTGGTAATTGAACAACGAAAAACAAAGATGTGTTTATTAAATGTTTATGCAGCTGATTATAATATGAACTCGAGAATTTGACAAAAGAAGTACCTTATTGATAGCACAGATGCCTCTAGTTTGGGATTTGGGAGAAGACCAGATAACAGAACCACCATCTCAAATGACCAATACTCCAAGCTATATAAAACATTTATATAAGCAAGAAAATGAATAAAAAAACCATAGAATTGACAAACCCTTTTAATTCAAGTACTTAAACGTGAACTTGCCATATCATGATTGCTGAAGGAACTGCAAGCTTTACAAAGCTGAAAATATCATGCAAAGCTTCTTTTGAAAAGCCGGTCCAGGTTTTCGTGCAAGTAGGCGAGTACTCTACGTATATTGCTAGCAGAAATACATTAATCCAATTCGAAATAGTAATCGCCAAGGCAGCACCTTTACTTCCGAGTCCAGATTTAAAAACAAGACCCCAGCACACAAGAATGTGCAGCAAAGATGTGGCCCCGGAGCTTAGCATCATAGGGAAAACATTATTTTGGGTTTGTAACAATCTGTTAAGGCATTGAAGCAGCCCGTAAGCGAAAAGGCTTGGAATCATCCAGCGGTTAAATGTCCCTGCTCCTGCTGAAATCTCAGCGTCTTGGCCTAAAGATAAGAGAAGGGTGCCAGTGTAAAACCAAATGATTGCTAGAGGGATGCTTACTGTTAGGAGTGTTAGCATTGCTCTCTGTGTGTGAATACCAAGCATGTGGTATTGTTTGGCACCATAGGCTTGCCCGCACAGCGTCTCCAATGCACTTCCCATTCCTAGCTACAAAAATTAAAAGGTTTCAGATAGAAATTCCATGAAATAAATAACTAGCATAACAAGACCCACGGTGCCTTTCTCTAGTGGATTTGTAGGCATTAGCTTGATTTGGGAGCAAGCAGAACATCACGACGATCAGTTTTAAGGTCAGCTTGAAGAGACAAATTCTGTCATTACAGCGTGGAGTCCCTCTTTGGACTACTTTCTTACCTTGGGGCCAATGAGTATGTTCTGTAGCTCAACTCGGACCCAAACTCCACCTCTCCTCTTCTTCGTTTTTTTTTTTTAAAAAAAACACCCTTCTGGGTAGAGTAGCCTCGAGCCTCGTCGACACATCAACCATGAAATATACTACTTTTCTTCTACTACTCTCTCTACCAGCCTTCGAACTCATAATAGACAGCTTGCGCAATAGCACACAAGCCAGCGAGGCCAGAGGGAGATCGGTAGAAGGAAGTTTACTTGAAAAGATGAATTTCGTTTTTTTTACTACATATTATGGAATCAAGGCCCAACAATTTCTAAGGTGGAATTCAGGACCTTTCTAAGAGCCCACAAAGTGGCTCAGGCCCATTTCCTAGAGGAGCCTCATCATTATTATATTAGTGATTGGTGCAAACAGAACACTGTTCTAAGTTCCAACGCCATCTAGACGCCACTGAACAAGCACCACAGAAAATAAATTAACTAGGAAAATTCACCTACCAATACACTGAAACCAGTAACTGAAGCGAAGGAGCATGCCATGGAAGCACTTGAAAGAGCAAGCTCGCCAAGATGACCAACAAACATAATCGATATTACTTGTAAGCAATACTGCAGCAAACTCACTGCTATAAGAGGCCCTGCAAGCCACAGTTGCTTCTTTGCTTCGCCAATAAAATCCTCTCCGCAAAAACAACCTTGTTGAGATACCTCCCCATCAACTCCATGGCTTCTTTCCTGGTTCAGTATCAGATGTGATTCAAGACTTGATTTTTCCGCTCCGGTATCCATCTTCCTTGGCATTTGTTAGTCAACGGAGAGTTACAGGAGAAACACCCGACACATTGATTATTGAATATATAATGTAATACAATAGCAAGGCAAATACATCAGCACCTGTGGCAAAAAAAGAAGAAGAAGCTGTTTATATAGATTGTTTTTTCAACATTAATTATTAATTCATGTGCAGAAATTTACGGAGTTAATAATAAAATCTTAATTCAAATATATTATTTAAAATATTGAAAAATAAATTTAAAAATATATAAAATTAAAGTGGAAATAAAAAAAAAATTCACTATTAAAGTTATTTCTTTATATGTTTTGTGAAATAAGATTCATTTATAATCAAATCAACTCCCCAACCAAGATAAAATAACAATTTTACATTAACTAAAAAATAAAATAATTAATTTGTTTTCTTTTTCAATTTCTTTTTCATTCACTTGATTTTTTTAGCATTAATGTTTTATAAGTTGAAATAAAGTTATTTTTTGACTTTTATTTTTTTTTCTTGAATTTTTTTTATGTTTTCTTTTTATTTTCTCTCTTTCTCTCTCACTTTTTCCTTTTCTTCTTCTTTTTCTTATTTTGCTTCTGTCCAATTGACAACATATAAAAAGAAAGAAATGTTGATTTGTTTTATTTTTTATGGCAAATAACCATTTTATCTTTAATTAGTCATTTTGTTTCTTTTTGATGGTTTTTTTTATTAGTTCTACCAAAATCCGTTCATCATGGAATTTTAATCATATTTTATTCAATATATTTTAAGGTTTCTCGTAAAATTTCAGCTTAATCTAATGATTAAATTGAAAATTACGTTCAATAACATAAAACTAGTTAAATTATAATCTTTTATCAGATTTCTGAATTTTTCTAAAAATCCTGAAATTTTAACTCAAGTTAAAACATCATATTAGAAGGCTCCATGTAAATTTTTAAAATTTTCTGACAACTCCATTACTCAATTAAGAATTATAAATTTATTTTTTATATAAAACTAATCAATTTATAATTTTTTATCCAAAAAATTTATAGATATCTTTAGCATGCTCATATTAATATAAATCATAATAAAATATGATAATAGATCTCTTATTATTTTAATCCATCAATGTATGACAAAGTCATCTACTGCACATAAGCCTTCAATAGTAAATCTATTGCACCTAAACCTTCACCAATATTTTAATATATTGATGAATTTTGACCTAAATAATAGCACACCCAAACCTTCAACATGCCCCGCCCTCGACCATGATAATGTTCATGGGCTCCGTCTTTGTACGAGAGGGAGAACGCAATTTTTGATGCGCGGAAGAATTACTCCTTGAAATCTCCCACCTGCAGAGTTTCACTTTGACGAGTTATGTTAGACCTGGTGTATAAATTGAATTGACTGTCGAGAAATCTTAGTGCAATCAAAGCTTAAGAAATCTACCTTTCTTTAGTGTTGTGACATTGAAAAAAAAATGTATGATCAATATCAATCAATCATTAAAAGAAAAGGAATTTAAATATTGATGAAGCTTTGGGGATTTTTATTCATGTTTTAAAGTTTGGGGGAAAATATATGAAACTTTGAGAAAAGGAATTAAAAGTAAAATAAATAAAATATTCATACAGAACTTATACAGAACTTGTGTCTTGATATGAAATTTGATAATAAAAGAAGAAGAAGAAGAATACGATGAAGGAAAAAATAGGAAAAAAAAGTCATAAACATAAAAAACATATATTTCCTATATCATCAGTTATATAAAATAAATCACACAGTCACCGAAAGAAAGAGTATCGACAGGGGACAGATAACCTTCCCTTGCGGTCTCGTAAGCTGAGGACGGACGAGACAATCAATTAAAGGAAATATTCTAACCACCGTATCTTGGATGTTTCTTGCGGCAAAAACTCAAAGGTGACATTCCCAAAACGAGGAGAGAAAATAACAGTGGAGCACTTTGAGGTAAAGGATACAGCCATGCAGGAGAAGAAATACAAACAAATTTAGACTGTCACATTTATTCATTTTTAATAACTGTAAACTCAAATTAAATGATGCATTTAGAGGGAAATGCCTTGTCAAGATAAAATAATATATATATATATATATATATATATTCATTCACGAGGCTGCATCTAATCTTAATCTGTTACAGCCACCATATTTCATTAATTTGGAGGCATGGCTCATGGTTTTTGTTTCCTTCTTTCTTTAACCTCTTATTAGTCCCAGTAAAAAACATTATATTAATGATTAGTAAACCTCTTATTATAAAAACTGAGAGCAGAAAGCTCTAGAGAAACACTGTGTTAGACATCCAAATGATGGGTTGCCCACGTATGTCTTCAAGCATGATCTTAATGTTTTTCGTCTAAAGTGGTAATGTCATTTTAATTTTAAGGGGAAAAAAAAAACCCCCTAAAACCCGAAGACAAACCCATTTGAATAACGAAGCCCGGTGGAGCCTAATAGCATGATAAAGATATCGTCATTGGCCTGCCACACCTAGACGCCTCTCACTTTCTCTCTCTATTCTCTCCAGCTCTTGCCCTTTTCATATTCCAACAATCCGATACTTTGTGAACCAAGCAGAACTCGGTTCTATTGTAAGACAAGCCATAGAGACAGAGAGAAGAACATGGAAGAGAGTTTGCTACCAAGACAGGTTGACGAGAAACGGCAGGGTATTATTGGTCCCACTCCAACCCCAACATGGGGTGTATTCATTCAAGAAGTGAAAAGACTTGGTTACATAGCGGGACCAATGGTGGCTGTGATTCTAACACAGTACTCCTTGCAAGTAATATCCATGATGATGGTTGGTCACCTTGGTGAGCTTGCCCTCTCTAGTGCCGCCATGGCTCTCTCTCTTTGTGGTGTCACCGGTTTCAGTCTCATGGTATTCAATCCTTTTCTTTTCTTTGATTATTATTAATGATATACGCTGCTTGTGCTTGAGTTTGATTGCTGCCAGTCTCTGTCTGTTTCTTGTCTGATCGCAGTATTTTTATTTACAATACATGCCCATTTCACTGGTCTTAATTTTACAAACAGTACTGAAGGATCGAGGTGGTCAGTAAGTGCTTATGCTGCCTGCCTGCCTGCCTCCCTCTGTATTTTTGTACACGTCCTCCTCTCTTCTTTGTTCATCGCACTAAAATTTGTCTCATCCAGCGACTTTTATCAGGTTAGCTCAGTATCAATATTTTAGTTAAATGATTAAGCAATGGTTACACCTTACAATCATGAACTAGGTACGAAATAGCTTGTGTGACGAAATGGTTATCAATAGCGAGTTAATTGGTTAGTCAGAAATAACTAAGGAAATTGAGACAATGAGAGAAGCATGCTGTAGGAATTAATTTAGTGAGTCCCCACGACGTCCAAAATAAAAATAAAAATAAAAGATGAATTAGTTCTCCCATTTTGACGTCCAAAAGAAAAGGGAAAATAAAAGATGAATTAGTTCTCCCATTTTTTTTTCAAAAGAAGAGGAAAATCCAACCATGTGATAAGTACGAACTTTCGCAATGCGGGTAATATATGGTTAACAGTAACAAATCACATCTCTGCTGACAACGCGCAATTATATGTCATTTTCATGTTCTACATTTGACAAAATAGGAACTTATCACCCTAATGATCTTTGCAGTAGGGTTCTAAATTTTCCTTTGCTTATTGAATTGTTGCTGGTTTTCTTTTTAATTCATTGGCTATGATGATTACAAACGGTTGCTTTCAATGAATTTATGGAATAACGTAAGGAAGCAATTAGAAAATGGTAGGAGTCTACAACGTAAGCGATCAAGTCAGAATCAAGTTGCGGTTCCCTATTAGTTTTACTCTCTTTTATGACGGTAAAAACAAAACAAGAGTTCTGCCAGACCAACTTGGTTTTGCCTTCATTAATTTCATCTAGAGTGAGGCCCATATACATGACTTGCAGTCTTGCACGGTAAAGAATTAAGGTGGAACAACGACGCAGCAGCTTGGAATAGTGGAAGTGGCCTTACCACCTTACCATTACCTGATTATTAATATTAGAGTGATGTTTGCTAATTACTATTAAGAATAAAAAAGATAGCTATCATTGTTTTAAATCCGTAGAAACATGCGTGGAAGATGAAAACAAGAGCGATGGATAATTTGTGGAAAAAAGAAAGAAGACCTAACTAAAAGTCTCTGTTGTTTTTTAAAGCTGAATCGTGCTTCTAATTGACCATAACACGTAATTTGTACATGTTACTACACAGATGGGGATGGCAAGTGCATTGGAAACCCTATGCGGGCAGGCTTATGGAGCTAAGCAATATAAAAAACTTGGAACTCAAACTTATACAGCAATTTTCTGCCTAAACTTAGTCTGTATCCCTCTATCTGTCATATGGATCTACATGGGAAAGATACTCCATTTCACTGGTCAGGATCCTGCAATTTCGCATGAAGCCGGAAAATTTACAGTGTGGCTTGTTCCTGCACTCTTTGCTTATGCAACTCTTCAGCCACTTGTTAGATATTTTCAGACACAAAGTTTGATCATGCCCATGCTGATTAGCTCTTGTGCCACTCTTTGTTTCCATATACCTCTCTGCTGGGCCTTAGTATACAAGTCTGGGCTAAAAAATGTGGGATCTGCGGTAGCAATGGGTATTTCATATTGGTTGAATGTAATATTTCTTGGATTATATATAAAGTACTCTTCCGCCTGTGCAAAAACCCGTGTTCCAATTTCCAAGGAGTTATTCTACGGGGTCGGAGAGTTTTTCCGCTTCGCCATCCCATCTGCAGTAATGATCTGGTAATTTAGTTGTAGACTAGGTCGTTTGTTGTTTTAATTTTAAGACATTACAGTCTTCGATGTATGAGATTAAATTGATGCATGCAGCCTTGAGTGGTGGTCATTTGAGCTGCTTATCTTGCTCTCAGGGTTCTTACCAAATCCACAGCTTCAAACTTCAGTCCTATCTGTGTGGTATGTTCTCCTTCTCTATAATCTTCTTGACCCCAATCTGGTTTGGATCACTTGCAGCAAATCTGAAACATAATTGGAAAATTTATTTCTCAAATGGACTGAATTTATGTTGATTTATTGTCTACGTTTCTGCAGTCTCATGACTATCTCAA